AAAGATGAGGATTTTAATTGTTATCAGAGACTTTTGATGTTAAGTAATTTCCCCTAAGGTGAGTTTTTTCACAGTCAATACCCCCTTTGCTTTTGTTGTTATTCATTATAATAACAAACACATTGTTTTAATAGTGCTAGCTATAAATATAACAACAAAAACTACACTTATTGGCCACAAGATGGCGCTGCAGTGCCACAGGGACTCCGTTTCCAGGAAGAGCCTGGGAGAGCAGAAAGAAAGGAAAGTACTAAGAAAGATTTTGGCTTGCATCCAGCATTGGGCAGATGTCGAAGTTTTCAGTTACAGCTTAGCTACCTCCAGCTATGTGAGAGGCGGGAAGCCCCTCAACACTTGAATGAGATCCACAGTTGCAGAATTTGGGCGGGTATCCTTGGTGTGAGAGGCAGGTGCACACAGAGGAGCAACGGCCTCCAAGACCATGGGAGAGCGAGGGGGCGGGGTGTGCCCTGAAGTGAGTGTGTCCTGCTGCTACTCCTCATCTTGCAGCCAGGCCCAGGGGGTGGCTGATCCTACTGAGCTCAGTCGTAGGGGGCCCTGGACCAGCAAGGAGTCAGGGTTAGGAGAGCGACATCACAGCCCTAGTGGACTGTGCCTTGGAGAGGAGCTTAGGCGCTCCAGCCCTCACACTGAGATCACAGCATTTAGCTGGGAGGGCTCCTTCTTGCCCTGACCCTGCCGTGAACGCCACACTTTTCCTCCGTGGGATTAGTTCCCTAGGAGCTAATAAGTTCTGGCTGCTACTGGAAAACCCCACTAATGTGTTTGCAAGTCCTTGCTTGGTTAATGGGTTGGCAAGTCTCTTTCCCCAGCAGATGCACACTACTTCAGTCCCCTGGGTGCTGGAGTCATCACGATGCCAAGATACAGTATCCCGCATTCAGGAAAGAAATGGCCCTGTTATGTTCTCAGAACCTGAGCCATTATCCAGTGTCTGGTACCAGCAAGACGCAGGACAGGGCCAAGCCGATCCATTACGCAGGCAGCGTTGGCAGCCTACACTGCGTCCGCAGCACTGCACGGCCAGCTGCTCACCGCACACATGGAGCAGCCACGAGCTTGAGCTGAACCCTCCTCCCTGAGGTCCCCATCTCAACAGAGAGAGAACACTGCCCTTGGTGGAGCCCTTCCCAGGTGTCCTCCATCAGGGGGCCTTGTGCAGCAGGAACCTTAGCATGAGCCGAGGTCCGGCACGTGTGAGCCTTAGAAATGCAAGCGACACTTAGTGCTATTTTGCAAAGTTTGGAACACTCTGGTCATAGTGGAAGGCAGAGAAGCAGTGGCTTCCAACATGAAATTTGTATTTCATTTGCTTTTGAAGAGACAAGAACAAAGCAGACAGCACCGGAGCAGTTTGAACTCTTTAAGTGATGTGGGGTTTTGCAAGTTTAAAGCGATTACAAAAAGTCACCTTGCCGTTCATCCCATTGAATATCAAACGAGAGTCCTCTGGAGGAAAAAATCTCAATGACAAGCTATAAAAGCACAGGTACACACAACACTGAGGACAATGCTAGTAGACACCCAGATCAGAACACCAGCCGGCAGGATCCTGCAGGAAGAGGCCTCGCACTAAGTTCCTCCCACGACCATGTGGGCGGGGAGATGAAGGACGGAACTTGATTCTTACCATTACGTTGGCTCAGACTAACATCCGTAAGTTTCCATTTTTTCTTATAAAATATCATAGAATAATGCTTCACAATTGTTTTGTTTTCCTGCAGGCTGTATCCCTCCTTAGCACCCATAGGTAGGCGCCCACACCATGAGCAAGGTTCCTTGTCTGCGACCCATGAACTCCAAGACTGAGCAGGCCTCAGCTGGGCATGCCTGGGGGTCCAAATCTCCTGGGTCTATGCTGTGCCCAAGCACACCCCTGCAAGGCTGCCAGCGGAGTGTGATGGCTCACCAGGACCCAGCACGCAGAGACCCCGGAGCAGCCTGCTGGCTTGGCGGAAAATCAGTTCACCGATTGGTCAGTCTGTCTAAGAGCTGAGCCAAAAGCTGAACGGTCAGACTGACGAAGGCCCACTCTCATGACCTACGACGTCAGCTTCATGTGATCATGGAGTGAAAGCAGAGCCTTGAGGATTTGTTCCCCACGTTTTGTTCATCTACAGCTTTCATTCAGCGATCAATTCTCAGCTATTTCACAGCAAACGTGTCACTCCAGCTTATTTGGATCCAAATTGTGTATTTTCGTCATTGAGTCCATCTCACATTTCAATACTTCATGTAGATTTCTGCATGGTCACATATGCTTATTTTTGTGTGATAAATTTCTAAATTGGATTGTATAACAGAAATATAAATTCGGTTCCCATCACCTATGCAATATAGGTGCTTTTTAGGAATATGTTATCGATGTATAAGTAACAGTCAGATGCTTGATAAATTTAGACAAGTGTGCACACCAGTGCAATCCTAACTAAAATCACAATAAAGAGCACGTGCATCACCCAGAAGGTTTCTTTCAGTTCTTTTCCAATTTCTTTTTTAAAAATTTTATTTATTTGAGAAGTAGAGTTACACACAGAGAAAAGGAGAGGCAGAGAGAAAGATCTTACATCACTGGTTCACTCCCCAAATGTCCACAGCAGCTGGAGCTGAGCCGATCCGAAGCCAGAAGCCAGGAGCCTCCTCCGGGTCTCCCACGCGGGTGCAGGGGCCCTAGAAGTCTGGCCATCTTCTACTGCTTTCCTAGGTGCATTAGAGGGGAGCTGGACCAGAAGTGGAGCAGCCTGGATTTGAACTGAAGCCCATATGAGATGCCAGCACTGCAGGCTGTGGCTTAACCTGCTGCACCACCAGACCTGCCTTTTCACTCTCTTACTGCTGCCTTTGGATGAGCTGAAGTTTAATTCATAGTTTTTTCCCTTCATGAAGTCTAGTCTCTGCTTTTGCATGGTTAGTGTCCATCCTAGGACAGTGTTGTCTGTCCCCAGGGTGTCAGCCCTTCCCTTCTTTCACTTGGCCCAGTGCTCCACGCTCACGCGTCTTTTCCTTAGTCTTGTCATCGTCCAGAAATGCTCCACCTCCCAAATCACAAACGGACTTCTCACTCTACCCAGAGTCGATCCCTAACATCCGACCTCTGACACTGGATTCTCACTCTACCCAGACTCGATCCCTAACATCCGACCTCTGACACTGGACTTCTCACTCTACCCAGAGTCGACTCCTATCATCCCAACCTCTGGTACTGGATTCTCACTCTCTAAGCAGGGTGGATCCCTATCATCCGACTTCTGACACTGGATTCTCACTCTCTACCCAGAGTCGATCCCTAACATCCGACCTCTGACACTGGATTCTCACTCTACCCAGAGTCGACTCCTGTCATGCCAACCTCTGATACTGGATTCTCACTCTCTACCCAGACTCGATCCCTAACATCCGACCTCTGACACTGGACGTCTCACTCTACCCAGGGTGGATCCCTATCATCTGACCTCTGACACTGGATTCTCACCCTCTACCCAGAGTCGATCCCTATCATCCGACCTCTGACACTGATTCTCACTCTCTACCCAGTGTCAATCCCTATCATCCGACCTCTGACACTGGACTTCTCACTCTCTACCCAGGGTGGATCCCTATCATCCCACCTCTGACACTAGATTCTCACTCTACACAGAGTCGATCCCTAACATCCGACCTCTGACACTGGACTTCTCACTCTACCCAGAGTCGACTCCTGTCATGCCAACCTCTGATACTGGATTCTCACTCTCTACCCAGACTCGATCCCTAACATCCAGCCTCTGACACTAGATTCTCACTCTCTACCCAGGGTGGATCCCTATCATCCCACCTCTGACACAGGAGCTTGCCACCCAGGGCAGCCATCTTGTATGCCCTGTTCTTTAGGGAACAGTCAGGGGCACTGCTGTTTGGATGTGTACTGAGATGTCTTCTGGGGGAGCATCATGGGGTCCACCGTGTGTGTGGAGCAAACGCTCCAGGCTGTAGCCTTCCCGAGGGAGGGGGGTGCCGGGTGATTCCTTGGAGGACTCTGGACTCTAAGTCCCCGAGTCACACTTCCTTTTCACATAACTCACTTCTCCATGCTTCTGCTGACTCAGAACAAGGTCACAACTTTTGTTGTTGTAATTGCAGAATTTCAAATTGCGTTACCTCTAAGAGAATGCTAGAGCTTGTGTTATTTTTTGAAGGCAAAATAAATTCTCCAAGGCTCAGGTTCCCTTGTGCGGTCTATCAGGGCTCCTGCAGAACTGAGAAGGGAGAGTAACGGTATTACTTACTAAGGTGTGGCAGGGTTAGGGGCTACAGTAAGTGGCAGCTCTTTTCACATTGGCCTACAATAGAGCAGAGATGTGGGTTCTGGGCAGCTGGGGGCTGGGGCTTTGGGAGAAGACCGACTACAAGGTGGTGTGCCCTCTGGTGGACAAAAGCAGCCGAGACATGCATTACTTTAATAAGGGGTCGGGGCATGGATACTGAGAACCAGGGCAGTTGCCTTTCCTGCCTCCACCTGCTCTGCTGCCCTTGCCCACCATGAGCTGAGTTCACTGGGGAGGGAGAGGAAGAGGAGGCAGTTAATGTGATCCCCTGGGGCAGCCCCTGCAGGCAGGGTGATCTGGAGGTATAAACGTGACCTACCCAGGGCACTGCATCCCACAGTGGCTCACTTTGTGCTGCGAGCAGACCAGAGTGTGTAACTGTGTCTGAGGACTCTTTCCTCTCATAAGTTACAGACGGCCCGGGCTCCTCCTCCAGCTCAGATGGGCTCTGTGTTGGTGACTTTGTATCACTGGGTGATCAGGGAGAGGAGGGGAATGCATGCAGGCAGAGGAAAACAGAGACACCTTGGTGTGAACCCAGCATCAGGAAGGCCATATGAGGGCGCTGAGCAGAGCTGGTATGAGCAGCGGTATGAGCTGGTGTGAGTTCCGGCAGGCAGCATCGCAAGCAGAAAGAGGGAGGAGGGGGAGAGGGAGACGGGGTCTGCTGTCCCTGGGGCAGTGCAGGCTGAGCCTCATCAGGGAACCTTTCGCCTTTAGCCACTACTACCTGTGTGGAGCCTGGGGTGCGGGGAGCCCTGGACCCCAGGAGGCCTGAAGGAGGAAGATACCAGGACATTGTGATCACAAGATGATCCCCCAATCAGAAAAAGGCAGGGCAGGAACTCAGCTCTTACCCAAAGGGACCAACCTGCAGCACAGGAAACAGTGCTGTCTTCACCCTGCTGTGCAATGGGCTCCAGGCTGCTCCCCTGGGCAATGTTTTGTCTCCTGGGAGCAGGTGAGTCCTGGGGACAAGCAGAGTGTCCCCACCCCACTCTGAGCTCGCTGACTGCTCAATCCTCTACTCCCCTTGGAGTTGCACTCCCACGCTCTCTCCTCTGCTCATCTCTGTCTGCTTTTCCCACAGGCCCAGTGGAGGCAGGAGTCACACAGACGCCAAGACACCTGATCAAAGCAAGAGGGCAGCAAGTGTCGCTGAGATGTACCCCTCACTCTGGACACTCCAGTGTGTCCTGGTACCAACAGGCCCCGGGTCAGGGCCTCCAGTTACTCTTCACAATTTATGAGTATGTGGAGAACGCGAAAGGAAACTTCCCTGACAGATTCTCAGCTCACCAGTTCCAGAACTATGACTCCGAGCTGAACGTGAGCGCCTTGGACCTGGGGGACTCGGCTGTGTACCTCTGTGCCAGCAGCTTGGCACAGCCCTGCAGAGCCACCAGTGTTCTGTGCACAAACCACCTGCTTGAGCTCTGACAGCAGGAGCCAGGGAGCCTCCATCCAGGCTTTGCACTTTCTCAGGATGCCTTTAGTTGTTACAAAGACACTTCCTGTGTCCCGCTGAGCTCACAGCACTCTCAAGCAACAAAGAATCTACAATTCCCTCACCAGTACTCAATGTTTCTACTTCTCCCACAGAATCTTCTTGCAGCTTGTATAGCCTGACTAGAAGAATGAAACTGAGCCCCTGATGTGTAGCACATTCTTTGTACACACTCTATAGATGAAAAACTCGGGGATGCTAGGTCATTTCCCCAGTGTCTAACAGTTTGCAAAAAGCAGCACTGACAGACGAACCTGTGTGTGTTTCCTTTTTTCTTGATTTGTTTTTATTTTATTCAAAAGGCAGGTATAGAGACAAAGAAAGAGAGAGTCAGGGAGAGAGAGAGAGAGAGAGAGAGAGAGAGATCTTCCATCATCTACTAGCTCTCTCCTCAAATGCCTACAGTAGCCAGGGCTGCGTCAGGCAAAGACCAGGAGTCAGGAACTCAACCCAGGTCTCCCACGTGGGTGGCAGTGACAGATTCAACTATGGGAGCCAACACCTGATACCGTCAACAGTGCACATTAGCAGGAAGCTGGAATTAGAAGCAGAGCCAGTATTCAAACCTAGGCACAACAATATGCGGCGTCCCAAGCGATGCTTTAACGGCTTTGCCAGACACCTTCCCCTTATTCGTGTTTATGTAGCCAGTGCATCTTCCATGAGCCCAGTTCTTCAGTCGTCCCCTTCTGCATCCTGAACAGTTCAAGGGAGACCCCAGCCAGCCCTCCCGTGTCCAGCTGGACAGCAGTGGAAAGCTCAAACCTCAGCCTGTCATTATTGTGACCCCTTACTGGCAGCTCTGAGGAACGTACAATTTCACACTGATCTTTTATCATTTATCTACTTCCTTTGTGTTTTTCCCAGTCTTTAGCATATGTTTTCATTTTTATGGTGTGTTTCAATGTACAAGAGTTTCACACAACTGAAATTATAACATTCTTTGTATCTCTACTAAAAGAGTTCTCTCTTTCTCGCTCTGTTACATTTAGTTTGTTCTAGTAAAGGCTAAATTCTACTTTTCATGATTAGGAATAAGTGCACCTAAAATACATTTCTATGTAAACAATGAGTAGGGACCTGAGAATGAGAGGACGCATATGCTCAGTTTGCAAAAAACAGCCTATAAATAGATTCCTAAGGTGGTAGACTTAAGATACTGCTGGAAACACAGATGGCAAGTAAACAATTCAGGATCTTGTCGGCCTTTGCCTCACAGAGGAGACCAGATGGTGACAGCCATGACTGTAACTTGAAGGACAGTAGAGGGTAGGGGTAGGGGCAGAGGGCAGAGGCGGAGTCACTGACAAGCGTGGACGGTGATCTCACCTGTAGACTCCACCAAGAGCCAGCTCTTACTCACCCAATGCACACACACACAAGGAAACACTCCCTTCATTCTCGTGTTCCCCCAATCCTAGCACGGCCACCAGCCTCACTGTGGCATGGTCCTTCACCTCCCAGGGGCAGGAGAGTCACGCAAAGCCCTTGACCTGGGCGCACCAAGCCTGTACTTCACGCATCTTGTATCGGGACCCTCCTTGGCGCTGGCTGAGTCAACTTCCTCTCAGAGAGCCCATGGATGCTGGAATGGCCCAACACAGGAGAGAACAAAAGCAGGACAGAAAGCAGTCCTGAGAGAGCCGTCGTTGTTGTCCACGACTGCACACACAGCTCTCAACAGGACCCGGACCTGGGCTAGTGCTGGTCCCTCACTGCACACACAAAGGAGAAAGGTCCACCGGGCCCTGGCTGTCTCAAAGCTCCAGATGACTCCTAGACCCCCGTGTCCCCTTGATCTCACATCCACCCCAGACACGAGGCTCAGAAAAGACGTGAGGGTCCTTGTCTTCATGACCCCACAACCCAGTTTGGCACCATGCTGTCCCATGGAGTCTCTCCCAAACAGTACAGTGCGGGGTCCTCAGACCCCTGTGCAGCCCTGAGAGTTCAGAACTCTGTGCAGGTCCTTCCCCAGGTCAGTCTTGGCCAGGGGAGGGGATGCACTGACACAGCAATGTGAGTGGGTCCCACATCTCTTCCACGCCCTTCCACGGCTCTTCCAGGGAAGCCAACTCGGCTCTGGCTTCAGAAGTCCCTTTGCTCAGCTGTTCACAGAATGAACAGACTGCAGACAGCACACGCCTACACTCTCTTCCTTGTTGCCCTTCCACTACCCCACCTCACCAGCCCCACGCTCATCTCAGTCTCCAGCTTTTTCTTCCGTGGAATAGGCTCCTGGTTGAGTTCCCCCGCCATGCACCCTCATCTCTGCTTCAACCTTGCAAGTCTCAGTTCAGTTATTCCTCGCAGGCATCTTGTTCCTCCCTTCCAAGGCTTGCCCACTTGCAGGCCTGCGTCAACACAAGAGGGCTTTCCTTTCTTATTCTCCTTGTCTCATATCTCAGTCTAACCTCCACCACTTCCCTACGAATTGTTTTTATTAAGCCACCTCCCCTTGGGATATGAGCTCAGAGCTCATAATACCCAAGAACTGGGCATGGTTGTCATTTTACACGCATTGTTTGACCTCTCTTGTGCCCTATTCTGTAAACCTCATCAATGTAAGGGCTGGGAATGCTTTTCTTTCCTATTTTATTGCCGGTACCCATGACAGGCCCAGGTTCCAGTGGCCAATCTTTAAAGAGAGGATGAATAATTAAAGACCCTCTAGATTCTCATTAGGTCACCCCAGAAGTTTGGATACATTTCCTAGGAACTTCGTCACTTTGTCTCTTAGTATTGGATGAGTCTTGTAACAGAGGAGAAAGCCTAACTTGGATGTATGGTTGGATCTCAAGGTTTTCTGCAGAGCTGGGCATTGTATCTCCTGGTCTCGTCTTCTCCTTCCCTCTCCTCCCCTCAAAGGTCGACCAGGTTTAGAGTCTCCTAGACATAGGCACCAAGTCACTGGCAAAGGAATTACCAACATAATACCAAATAACAGTATCAAAAAGTGACAGGTGGAAAACAAATGGCTTCTCTGATCCATCAGGGAAAGTTTACCACAACACAATTATCTCCTGGATGGCCTGGAAGTCATGAGGTTTGCTCGCTGGAACTGTACTGTGGAAGTCCACTTGCATGTAGTGGGGGGCAATGCCCAAGTCACAGAGTGGAGGCTCACCAGCTTCCTGCTGCCCGCCCACAGCCCGATCACGTGGCAGGGCGTTGAACAGAGCCCTGTACTTGTCCCCTCTTTCATCAGATAGGAAAGGCCACTTATAACATCAGAGGCCCCATTTATAGAGTGAGGCCACGTGTTAGTCCTTGAAGAATGCAAAGGGTCACTCTGGGTGAAACAATAAAATGTATGACCACCTAGGATAGCCCAAGGTATAGACCAAAGCCCCAGTTTTGTCCGAATGATTCACATCCATGCTTTAAAGACTAATGCAGTTTCATCTCCTTAGGCGGTGAAGACCAAAAATAGATGACTTCTTTCAAAGACTTGAACCTTAAGAGATTGAAGTCAGAACATCTTCCCTAGGGGCAACAGCTCTTCCCACCCATTTGCGAAAGTCGTTGCTGAGACAGCCGGGATTTGTTGAAAAGCCCTGGAGTAGCGTTGCAACTGACATGGTAATAATACCGCTGCCTGAATTGCAACCAAAGACAAGTGTTTCTGGAGCCTGAAAGTTATAAAAATGGAACTCCTAATGACGGGAAAGGAAGGCACTAGAAGGTGCTCCCTTGCCGTCCGGCTTGGATAGGGAATTCTTTCAACCTCTTCGAGAACAAGAAGTCCACTTCCCCTTGGTGGTTAGGCCTGCAGAGGTAGAAGCTCTATTAGTTCATAATCAGCAGAAACTGACGTCCACATCAACCGCACTGACCTCATAACTCACCCACTCACCCACAGTAGTCCAGCAGTGGGTGAAGAGCTCTGTTTTTTCTTACAGGCAGAGTGGACAGTGAGAGAGACAGAGAGAAAGGTCTTTCTTTTCCGTTGGTTCACTCCCCCCCCCCCCCACAATGGCACTGTGGCTGGCACACTGTGCCGATCCGAAGCCAGGAGCCAGGTGCTTCCTCCTGGTCTCCATGCAGGTGCAGGGCCCAAACACTTGGGCCATCCTCCACTGCCTTCCTGGGCCACAACAGAGAGCTGGACTGGAAGAGGAGCAACCGGGATAGAACTGGTGCCCCAGCCAGGACTAGAAGCCAGGGTGCCAGCGCCACAGGCAGAGGATTAGCAACGTGAGCCATGGCGCCGGCCAGACCCTGAGCTGTTTACACCAGTTTGTTTTAAGAAAATGAGCCTTTATCAGGTGTCCCATGGCCAGAGTCTTTGTTTCTTCCTTTTCATTTTTTTGGAACAGATTTATTTATTTATTTATTTATTTATTTATTTGACAGGCAGGGTGACAGAGAGGGGCAGGGAAGGAGAAAGACAGAGAGAGGTCTTTCACGTGAATGTTCACTCCCCAAATGGCTGCCATAACCAGGGGCAGCCCTGGTCAAAGCCAGGAGCCAGGAACTCCATCCAGGTCTCCCACGTGGGTGGCAGGGACCCAGACATTAGGCAATCATGCACTGTTTTACCAGGTACACAGTGCTAATAATGGTGCCAGAAGACACATGGCTGGCTGGCTTCTTGGGGAATGAAGTGGGAGCCACTGGATTACTGAAGGTCGAGGGCGGTGAAGTTAGAAGCATTTGGGGTTGTCAGTCTTCCCTCCATGCAGTACCAGAAATAGTAGAGTGTGTGCGTCCTACAGCCACAGGAAGAGCACACGGTGCTGGCCATGTGGAGGTCCTGGCAGTGGTTGGCCAGGGGCCGTGCACCAGCAGAGCCAGCTTTGTATTCTGTCACGAGATGCAGCAGAGACACAGGAGGACGAACTAGGGAGGGTGCTTCATGTGGCGCTGTCGTTAAGATGAGGAAGGGAGGAGAAGCGACAGTGATCCCTTCACACGTGTGAGGGCCAGAGGA